ATTTCATTTAAATAAATACATGTAAAATTGTTATCTTAATTTAGACAAAACAACTTTACTCACAGTACCTAAAATAATTATTTAATTTTTCAAAAGTGGGGGTTAAAGAGGCAGGTCTTCTTATGCCAATTACTTTAATATTATACTTTATATATATTTTATCTAGAATGCTAAGCTAGCACAAAATCGAATCAATAATAACAGAGGATACAATAAAAATAACTGTAACAATAACTTAAGAGAATTAGTTCTCATTTGAAATATGCTTTACGCTATTAACTTCTTTAAAATGCAATCTAGAAATATTTCAAATCAAAACATATTATATACTTACTTTTTGTCTCTCGTTTCCCTTGACCATTAAATAATTTGGTTTTAGTTTGTGACACAATTTAATTCTCTTAATAATATCAATATTTAAAACAGTTCCATCTTCTAAAACAAATCCTTTATCTAAAAAGTGGTTTCTCAGTAATTTGAGCCCAACAGAGGCCGAGCGGTAAAGTCGCTGAACACTGGTAGTTCGGTCCGAGGTTCGAATCCCGCGAACGGGCTGGCTGCATGGGCGTTTTCGTGGTTTTCCCCATGTGTAACGTGTATACGAGCCAGTTTCCCTTAGAAAGTCCTCCACAAAGGCATCCCTCCCCTTAGGCAGATAGCCCTAGTGTGCTTTGTCATAATTAAATACACCAACACTCAGTAATTTGAGGCAGTGCGCTTAAATCTGCAAAAACCCATATTTTTTTCGTTTGGAATACTGGATTGGAAATGAGAACTATTAATCGAAATCTGTAACTCTTTCCACAAAGTAGTAGATCCTCCTAAATCAGACACTATTGCTTTCACTTCTACTCTAGATGATTGAATATGTCTTATGAGTGAAAAAAGAAGTTCTTTCTTCATTGGAGTGTTAAAATAAAAAAATATTGGTTGTTTCCACTGCGAAATGAGATCTCTGATTAAAACAAACTGCACTTTTTGAAAAGGACCGATTTTGGTCCAGTTTAGAGTCATAGCAGAGTTTAGAATCTATGTGCATTTCGTCGAAACTGAGAACGCATATTTTTTCTACAGAATTCAAATATTGGCATCTTTCCTTCATTACCGCAAGAACATCACTCTGAATTCCTGGACTACATGAAAATTTAGCGCATCATCTCTTTAATGTGCTAGTGCTAGGTAAAGGAATTCCCATTCTTTCCAAAAATCGTAGCTTTTAGATGACAGACCTCTTTTGACAATGCAACGTGAAATATCTTAACTAGTCCACCGGATTTTTTCCTTCTTTTCTAGCAATGCGTTAATCTGCGTCTTTGTAAAAATATGCTTTAGACGTTTTTCCAAATTCTCCGATCTGTTCTGTTTTTTCCTAAATTTCGCTGTTTGGGATTTTAATTCCTCAATTTCCGATACAAATTTCTTTCTAGATGTCGTCCACCTTCTTTGTCGCTGAGCAAACATTCTAAAATCTTTCTTTTCTCTATTTTTCAATATTTTATTACAATTTTCTAAGGATATTATTTTGTTCTTCAAATTATCAATACATTCTTGTTTATCTTTACACTTAGGGCACTCAGGGATATTGTCACATAGGGCATTGTCACTTGTGAGTTTTATTTCAAAATCATTCACATTTGATTTATTATTGTCAGCTTCAATTTCGTTCTCGGTCTCAAAATAAATTTTCTTTGGGCTTAATTCGTGTAGTCTTTCAAAAGCACTCTGCATTAGTTTTTTCAAATGTCTCCGATTTCTTGGTGTTATTTTGTTTACTGCACACGATAAATTTACTTTCGGCACAGCATTGCATTTCAAACAGTTTCTTTGCGGCAATCCAAGCAAGCGATTTCTCATGTCATCTTCATAATCACTGCACAGAAAATGTTCGCTGCAAATTCTTGCTTTTCACATTAATAGAATCCTGTCTTCGACATTTATGTATCCATTCTTTCGTCAAAAGCAAATTGTCCTTGGGGAAAGCATGAAATACAATATCTCTTCCTTTCGTATTTCTATAAGTGTTACGGCACGTTGCTACAGCACAAGAAGCCATATTACATAAAGGATACTTTAAATATAGAATTTAAAAGGAAAACTGACTAAAACTACATATACACAAATTATTTTAAATATTTGCATTATTAGAAAACAAATATTATGATTAAAATTAATTTGGGATATGCGATCTCCAGAAAATCGTCTCGCAACTGAATGAAACTACAGTTTTAAAGGCGCGAAATCAGAGCAGGTGCAACAGAGATACGTCAGATTACTTCCGGTTCCCCCCCCTCTATGAGACTCGCGTCGGCGAGGAGTCGAACAAAGGAATGACCTAGCCCTTCTATTTATCCCTGCTTCCACCGCAGTTTTAAGGGACAGCACCCGGGGGGGTCTGAGGAGTCTCTCACCCCTCTCCCATCTACCAAACCCCACGGGAGGACTTTCGACTCACCACATATTTAAAGTCGCCCTATGCCGCAAAGACACTATTTACATTTACAAACATCCATGCCTTCTCCGGGATACCAACCCGGGCCCTTCGGCGGTAGGCTCTCCTAACCTTTATATTGTCTGAGCGGCTTCTTGGCTGTTTTAAAGTGGGATTATGTCCGCTTAAAAAGAACGGAGAGCCTTTTTTGATGTCTTTCTTCCCCAGTTTGATTTTTTTCCACGTCTCTTCTACATCGCATCACTTAGTTTCCGAAATCTTAAACTTCTTTTATAGTAGTAAATTTTCAGAAGGAAATAATTATAATTTGAATGCATCAAATATAGTTGATTTATTAGCGAATATTTTTAGACAGCAAGACCTAAACACGATCAGTTATCCATAAATATGGACTGAAACTTTCGTAACAAATATAAATAAATAAGTAGTATGTACAGTACTCAAAGACAAATCCTCTTTTACAATAATAATAACAAACAAATTCTAAATGAAACCATTACTTTTACCAAATGAAATATTTTATATTTTCATCAGCTGATATATTTTTGATTTTCATCTGCTGGCAATCGGAATATATTTTTTTGAATATATGTTGCATGTACGAAATAATACGAAACTTGGAAATCTTTTGTTTATATTTCTTACTGTTTATTTATCTTTTCTATTTACCGTTGGAGCAGATAGCCCTTGAGGCTTTGCCGTAATCACATAAACCAAACTTATTTACCGTTATACTTCGTTTGTATACGATAATAACAAAGAAATTGAAGAGAAACCATAGAGGATATTTGTATGATTTTGTCAAATCTACTTCTGTACACAAATACATACATACATATATATATAATCAGAGTAATAAACTGGAAAACAAATATCTCAAAAAATGTTATTACCAACACAATAATTAATCAAATGCACAGAATGAAAAATATCAGAACAGGAGTTAACTACTTAAAAGATGAACTTATTTTGCTGATATACGTACTTTTAGGAAAAAAACATTCTTCACGTTTTATTAAATATTCATTTAGAAAAGCAGGGGTTAATTTTTATTTCCTAATTTAACTAAACTAGTACGTTATGTTAAGATACAATAACACGTCGAACAAATACTAATTCAGAAGTCAAACAACAAAAATCAGCGTTATATTTTCAAATTTTCACAGTTGACTAGTTTCGATGGTTTTACCGAACCACCATCCTCAGCTGCAAAAGCGCAAATGAATGAATGAATCATTCATTTGCGCTTTTGCATTTGAAGATGTTTTGAAGATTTGTGTATAATGTATTTATTGCATCTGAGTACTATACTTTTATTTAAAAAAAAAGCAGATATTTATTTGTGTAAAGACACAGACGTCGCTGGTCCTGGTTGACGACTTTCGCGTTTTCTTAACTATTTTCCTGACTTTTAGACAGAGATTATTATGCTTCTATTATTTTAACTCCAAAACTAAAAGTAAACTTCTTAAGAGATTTATGACTACAAAAAATTACAGCCAAACAGAAGACTGCGCTCTAAAAGTTTTTCTTTCGCCAACCAATCACGTGTACGGTTCTACGCTCTCGTTAAAAAAAAAAAAAAAATCTGATAAACATAGGCGTCTGTTTTGATGAATTGGGATGGGAGGTGCTGCATCACCCACCATACTCCCCCGATATCAAACACTTGGATTTCCATTTATTCCGATCCCTACAACATTTTCTTAGTGCCAAAAAATTTGAAAATTTGAATGATGTCCATAATGCCATCTTGAGCTATTTTACTCAAAACCCAATTGATTTATATCGGTCCGGGGATTGAAAATTTGCACAATTGATGGCAAAAGGTTGTTGATAACAAGGGTGATTACATTATTGATTAAAAATAAAAACGTGTTAAAAATTTATTCGTGTGAATTGAATGTAAGAAAGGGACATTACTTTCCGGTCCCCCTATTATTTAAACCATAAATTATCTTTATGTTTTTTTTTTTTTTTTTTTTTTTGTATATCAAGGGAATTTATTAGTATATATTCAAGGATCAATTGTGAAGAAACGGGATAATCCCCAAATTACAGTGAATCTGCTAAAGGAAAATTATTTGCGATTTCCCCCTGAAAAGTCATTTCTCCTTTGGCAAATAAACAATAATTTAATTTTGATTTTTACATTTTTTTCTATTGTAAAAATACTTTAACATTTCTGTTTCCTTTGCATAATTTTATAATGTCAGGTAAATACATACCTGACATATACATAATACATATCTTCAGGTAATCATTAATAACATAATACATATCTTCAGGTAATCATTAATAACATAATACATATCTTCAGGTAAACTTTAATAGCTAATGCTTTCCATTCATCAGCCCTATTTGACCTTCACAGTTCTAAATTAGTTGAATTGCATTTTAATTTAATTTAGTTATAATATATTTAAATACTAGTCCTAGCAGGTAATAATTAAATCCTAATTTATATATATATATATATATATATATATATATGTATGTATTATTGTTTTCAGAAATTATGTAATTTATATCAAAATAAAATATACGATACCCTCAGAAATCCACTTTTACCGAGTTCAATTAACTTAAGAACCGTAGGATTAGATGACAAAAATTGTTTGGCTACTCTGTAATAGTCAGGCAGTTTAGCAAGGATTCGTTGCATATGAGGTTCAGCTGCTTCTTTACTCAACAAAGCTACTTTAACAATGATTTCTCCGCATCGGTACTCTGTCAATGGCTGAAGTTTGTCTTTTAAGGCATTCACGACTGTGGCGAAAACATTTTTGACATCTTCACTGGGATCATCAAGGAAATCTTGTAATTTTTCTGCACAAAAATTAAAGAAATGCATTTAATAATAAGACAAATAAATGAATATTTAAATTTAATTTATTATTATCAAGTCTGATTTTGTAACAAAAAATTTTTAATAAAGCGCCAATCAAACTTCTACTTTTACTAAATAATTAATAACATTTTAAAATGAAAGCAGGTAAAGAAATAAAGTGTTATTGCGAATTGGCAACATGTAATTCCTGTTTAATTAAACAGTTTACGCAGGCATACTTTAAGTACTGAGCTGTCTATTTTCAAAAGTTTAAGATCTTTTTTTAGACAAAAATTTAGGGCATGTTCTGACTGTGGCATAACTGTCGCAAGTGGCATGAAACGAACTTCCTTGTTGTTCAAAGAAACATTTGCTATAGAAACCGGTGTAATGATTTTGTCTAAATGTTCTAACCTTTCTACTTTACACCAAGAGAGTTTAAAAGCAGGCCAGTTCAGCGAAATAAATAAGCTGAAGATCAGAGGACCACATTTACGAATGCACAGTTTACTTTCTCTTATTTTCTACAGCTTGGACCACGTATGACTGTCGCGAACGAAACTAATGATTTTTATGCTTCAACTATGACAACTGCAATTGCTTAAGCCATAGGTTTTCTTTTTTTTTAGTGCTTTAGCCATAGGTTTCTTGTAAGATATTCGTTTGTATGCTGGAATAGGAAAGACGCTTAACTTCATCAACTCTTAAAACTTCTTATTTCAGGCTTGACTTCTGCAGCGTGACGAAAATTTAGTGGAATAACATGTCTTTAGTTGCCAATATCATGATACATCGGCAATTCTGTATTACGGACGTCAGCCAATAACGCCAACGAAGCTTGTCATTGCGCATGCCTGAAGCATAAACCATGCTAGGACTAGACGCTACTCTGCCAACCTACAACTTCGCAAGCATTATACTTAAAAGCACAAACTACTGCGCAATCAATGGTATATTTTAAGGATTACGTTCAGCAGGTATTTTTTTTTATCCAATGGCGAGCCGTCAGCCGACTTCGGCTTGGCCACTTGACTTCGGCTTGGCCAGAAGTGGTGGTCACTTTATCATAAAGGCACCTAATAGGTTGCCAACCTTTTCCTTCTATGAAGGGACAGACACTTACAACCATGCCTATTATCGCAGTCGGCTCCCCTAACTACTGGTCGGCCGTTTAGCAGGTATTGAAGTACTTTAATTTCCCATGTCAGCTGATAATTGGAAAGCATTGAAATTTATTCACAATGTCAACCTAATCGCGTACGGATACTATGTACAACGCAACTGAAGTAAATTTCAAGTTGATGCTTGCTTTCGGTAATATATAATCATACAAGTAAACAGAGAATGATTTACTGGAATATTGTTGCATGCAACAGTTTGAGCTCAGAATATATTTAGACATTGTTGGTCTAAGTATATTCTGAAGTTTATTTGATGTTGCGGGAAAATTTAGTGGAATTTTTAACCAATAAAGTTTTTTTTTTCTTTTTAAAAGTTAAAAATTTCACGAAGAATTCTATTTTAAATAAGATGAAATTATTAATCGCTCAAATGCGCTAGTTTTATTTCAAGCTTCTCGCTAAATTCCTTTTAGTAGTCTTGAATTTAAGTCGATTAGTGGAAACAAAGAAATTATGTATGTTAATAAATTTGTTGTTGAGTATCTCCGTTAATTTAGCACGCAAAGTGTGGCCTGTTTCCTTTTCAACTGAATAAAATGGAATAATAGGCATTACTAAATTAATTAATATTCTGTTATAATATTTGTTCCAATCACATTTATATAATTGGCTTATGAAGTTACACTGTTGCATATTTGTTAGAGAGAAAACGAAGCACTACAAGCACGCATGTAAGTTGCAATTAAATGAATTACAGTATGAAAGCAAAATCAGCGAATACCACTTTCCAAAAGCAGAATATTAAAAGTTAAGAATATATTTTGTAGATAAATTTCTCGTAGAGTTATGCTACTAAAACTCTCAGGCGATTCATCGCCCCATCTGTGAAAGTAAGTACAGATTCGGGAGAAGGTTTAACAAACCTTCAATTTAAAACTTTTAATTGAACAGATGCACGTCTTGTGTCTGCAATTTAAATCTTCGGAGCTTGCAGAATTTCAGATAACATAGAAAATGAATTAAAATTCAAAGTAAAATTAATGCTAAAAATTGGTAGTGAAAAAGCCTTACAAACATTGATTCAGTTCTAACTAAGTGCGGGAGGAAATTCAGCTATTAAAAAGGCTAACGCTGGATAATTATGTTATCCAGCGTTATGTAATGTAAGCGTCGAGCAAAATGTAAGCTCTAAAGCTGGTGGTGGAAGTTTCAAAAGGTCAGCGTCTCTACAAAGCTGTCTGTTTAACTCTCAAGAACACTGCTCTTATATACACATATCTTATTCACATTCTTAATGAGAGCTAGCGAAGAATAGATTTGATAGCATAGTTCAAGTAAAACAATAATTTGTTAATTAACATATATACTCAGTAACTTGCATAAAATGTTTAAAAGTTTAAATCTTCTCCGAGGCCTTTTGGCCGCTGCCTGTGAACATCGTCAGATTGTCTAAATTTTTATTTGCAGAGACCACTGCGGTTCATTCGATTCGTGCAGGATGTCCATACAGTGTTAGCATACATGTTTTCATCGTTTCCGTTGTGGAGAGATAGAAATTATCTCGCTATTAACATCAAAAACTGAAAACTTGTGCATGTGACTGAAGTCAGCGGCAGAAACCCAAGAGAAAAAAAAAGAAGAAGACAGAAACCCAAGAGAGGAGGGAAAAATAATAATAATAATAATAATAATTAAAAAAAACAGGAATCCTTAGCGGATTCGCCAAACAGAAATTTAATAGTCCAGCAGTCAGAGGCGATTTCAGAAAGATATATAGACCATTAAATTATTGAGTATTCTATTGATTTTTATCAGATAGATTGCTAATTTCTTTGTGAAGATTTTGCCTACTCATATTCTACCAGAATGTAAATAAGCAAAGATCATAAAGTGATTAAACTATGTAACAGTGGATACTTGGCTGAAATAAGTGATATTTTAAAATTTTCTTACCAGGTAAAGAGCGGATTAATACCCTCAACTGGTTGAGCAAACCACGCCAGCCACCTTCGTTGTAGGCATGAACTAGAGTTCGGCAATCTTCATTGTTTTGGCATTTGCTTCGTATAGTTGCAACATATTTATCCACTTTATCTAGATAACTGCGAAAGTAAGCTTCATAGTAAGGATACACGGATTCAAAGATTGCTGAACCTATTTTCACACTGACATCCGCCACTTCCTTAAGGCGACGTTTCAGTTCAGGTAAAGGCCTAAAAATAATATAAATTTTAAAACTTAAATGAGATAATAAACTTAATTTTGCAGATACTTTATAAAAATTCACGTCTTGAAAGCCTATTAGCCCAAATTACCGTGAATTTATATTATTGAATATTTATGAAATTTACTACAATTAATATGATTTAATACATAGAAATATTTCTCTAATATATAAACTTAGATGTTATTAGTGTTCTTAACTTATAATGTTCAAAGACATGGAAATCTAAATCACATTGCTATAAATTTAATTAGGTACTAGAATGGGATCATTATACTAGGTTTCATTAATTAAGGAAAAATCAGGAAATTTGAGCGAGTTCACCTAAAAATCATATGATCCTAACGAAATTTCATAATCATAGTATTTAAAGATTATGTGATCTTTGCCCAATTTCGTCAGAAAGCCATTAAAAATATGTTGCATTTGTAAGCTGTATGAAAAGCTGATCCAGATAACAGCATTTCAAGAAATCGGATAGCAATATAAAAAGATATATTTTGGAATATATTACTACTTTCTGTTCTAAATGTGAATAATCCTTTCTTTTAAGAGCTGATTTGATACAAGTACTAAAGAACACTTACAAAGGAATAACTTTGACCAGTTTTCGAGGCAAGAAAAAGGCATTCATTTTGTGAAACATTATATAAGGGCTTTTCTATTATTAATGCTGTATTTTGATTTACAGATTCCTCCATCAGACGATTAATTTAGATGAAACAAAGGACTATGACTATTTCTTCGCAGCAGTCAATAACAGTACTATAATAACTAGTAAAGAGTTGCAAAAGGTGTCATAACGATGTCTTTATTCTAGGCATCAATTTATACTACAATTAATACTCTAGTCTAGAAGTCCCTTTTACTTTATATGTTAGCAGACAGTGGTTAAATTGGGCATGAGTCATATTAAAATCACCTAAGTCTAATTAAGGTAGGCACTTTTCACAAATATATTCATATAATGGCTACAAAGCATTTTCGAAGAAAATTAAGCATCCATTATTATAGAAGTAGCATACCTCAAAGATACGTTACGTTATAAGTTACACTTTGCTTAGCCCTCAGGGGATTATTCTTTGTGAATAAGGGTGTGGCAATCCCGAGATACCCTTGCGGAGTTCACCTTCTTGGTGAAACGGATTCACGACCACTTTCGCTCCATTTATCTATTCTTCTTCAATTTTCTCTTTTGTTGGCTTCTGCTTTTGCTTTTTTTTTCCCTTTGTGTCCCCCTTCTTGGAAGTTGGGGCTCAAAATGAGATGCTGTTGCATCCCTTTATTTTAGCTTTTCATGGAGAAAAAACAGTTTGAGCGTTTTCCGTGCCTGGAGACCCGTAAATCTGGAAAGAACGAGCCTGGTAGATAAGGGGTGAGGAACTGCCACTAACACGTTGCTTTAAACTCTAGATTAGTTTAAATGGGATTCGCATGTCGGCCCCGTATGTATGAATTGGCTGCCATCTGCTGGGCACTTCGTTAGGTGTGGAAAGTTGCTTCAGGGGTGCTCTGTGAGCGTGAAGGCATGACTAACGTCCGAAATAATTGTTCTCTATAGTTTGTATGGATCCTTCAATTTAATGAATTTCTCAAACAAACCAGCTGCGGATAGCTGTAATTAATAAATCATTAACTGAATCCGGAAACGTATGTTTTGACGCAAAAGCAGTTACACTTTTAACGAGCCTAGGAAACGTAAATCAGCCGCCTCATAAGTCGTTAAATTTCTCTTGAGACTTTATTCCAGAATCAAATCTAATAACTGTTTCAGAAGAAGAAATGATTGCCAAAGTGAAAGATCAACACGTATGTGGGGCTTGAAGAATTAAGATACGCCGACATTAGCAACTAATAAACACAAGACATATATATTGATATCTAGCATTCTGACTCTTTTCAGATCCATCAAAGCAAGTTATTTAAATTGTCCAGTGCGAACATACATACCCAATAAGATGCGCTGTTTCCAGTGTCAGCAATATGGACATTCTAAGTTTTCCTATCGTGGCAATCTGTGTTAGATACTCAGACATGGACCATGACAGTGAAAGTTGCTTAAAGACACCGTTTTGTATCAACAGCAATAGAACATCCGGCTTTTTTCTAGATCTTACAAGAAATGGAAAAGGGAAAGGAAGTGCAAAATAATAAGAGTCTTCAAAGACATATCATATGCAGAAGAAAAGAAGATAGTGGATGTCACTCATTCTTATCCCAAGATTTCTGAGTCTTTTCGATCTATTCGAAATCAGGCATTCCCTAGTACGCAAGCTGATAAAACAAAAACCAAGCAGCAATCAAACAGACAAAAAAGAATTTGTAAAAGAATCAGACCCTCCGTTGCACAAAAATGGGAAGAACAAACAAAAGATAATATAGAATGAATAAAAATCAAAATAGAAGCCCGAACAACAGTTCATTTGAGATCACGTATACTGAAACCAAGGACCAGGTTTTTATTCCAAATCTGCCCACAAATTTGGAAGGTCTTAACGTATCACATAAAAAGTTTCAAATGTTTAGATTGTGTTAGGTATTTGAATAATGCAAAGGAATCTATCATTGAAGGAATATGGCAAGGCCATTGAGGGCTACTTCAGAGGAGGGATGCCTTCATGGGGTACTTTACACACGAAGGGTACTTTACCATGACACTGAGGGAAATCTACTCGTATTTATGTTTAACATAGGGAAAGCTACTAAAACCTACCATGCAGCCATCCCGTTCGCTTGGGTTCGAACCCAGAGTAGGTCGAACTATCAGAATTCAGCAATCTGAATCATTCGACCACTGGTAGAGACATGTTACAAAAGGATCACATATAGGACATTTGTAACTTTGCCATAAAAACTTCAGGGCATATTCTTCTAAACGTGTAAATATTTTAACCATGCTGTTCAAACTCTTATATTTGTAAAATTTTGAAAGCGTCTATTCCTTTTAGGCTGAACATGTATCTTATTTTAATGTCCGTTTCAGAGATGAAGGGAGCGAAAGAAAAGAAAGAAAAAAAAAAAAACTAAATTATTTTATAATCATTATATACGCATAGCAGTTTATTTCTCAGAAAGCGTTGTATGGGAGTCTGAGAGATATCTGCCTCTAATAACAAGTGAAATATTCGATTAACATATACAGAGTGTACCTGTACAGGTGACAGGTGACAGCAGGGTCGAACACCCGGACGGCTTTCAAAGACTAATCGGGTATAGTCAAAGACCCGCTCCATCTAGAGCATAACATGTTTACAACATAAAAATACCTAGCGTTGCATTACTTACAGACGGTGGACATTTCATGGCGACATAACATAGTTCAACATAGACATGACATGACATGGCATTTTGACGTGGCATAGTATAGACTATAGTCATTGCATAGCGACATAACATATTTACAACATTAAATACACAACGTAATGTAACTTGCAGGACAGGTGAACATAGTATAGCGACATAACATAGTTAAGCATAGATAAGACACAGCATAGTATTGCAACATAGCATAGCATGGCATATGGACATAGCAGAGCGACATAATATATTGAGTAAATAGGTCGATGTGTACATGGATAAAGTCTAGTGAGTGCGCAATGCAATTTTTGCGCAATTCTGGGATGTTTTTTAAGTGAAAATAGGTCGATGTGTACATGGATACCGAGTATGTGCAATTCTTTAAAAACGCGCCAAGCAGTGGGTGATTCTACACTTTCCCTAAATATTGAGGTTACATATTTACATATAATTCGCATACAACATACAATACAACATACAATTCGCAGTGTGGCATGACCTATGCGACAGCTGGACATTGCATGGGGACATATTATAGCTTAGCGTAGATATAACATGACACAGCATTGAAGCATGATATGACATAGCGTAAGGATTACATATTTATAGCATTAAATACACAACGTAACGTAACTACATGAAAGGTGGATATGGAGGGGGTGAACCAGTATAGCGTTGACAAACTTCCAGGACAGATAAAATACACATAGACAATGGGAAATCACATAGGAATGCAAGGTCGGAAACGTTTTCCTGGCGCGATAGTGACGACATAAAAGTCAAGAAAGAAAGGACACGAACGGGGTGAGAAAACGTATTTATTATTCGGAGTACAACAAAAACAAAGAAAAGAACAACATAAAGAGACAACCGATCATCATCAAAGAATGTGTTCGAAATTGCCACCCAGACCATGATGCAAGAACCGTGCGTCATGCATCTTACATTCGTGATGCAGATCTTCCACGCGGAGATGTAAGGCTCACGGTCCGGGGTCGTAATTTCGAACACCTTCTTTAATGACGATCGTTCTTTGTTTTAGTTCTTATTCGTAGGTTTCTGCTGTATTAAAGCATTATAAAACATGCTTTTTCTCACTGTTTGTGTCCTTCCTTTTTTGCTTTTTGAGTCGTCACTACTGCGCCAGAAAAGCGTTTCCGACCATGCATTTATGTGATTTCCCATCGTCCAGGTGTACTGCATTTCTCCTGAAAGTTGTCAATGTTGTCCTGATATACCCTGTATATTGAAGGAATAACTAAAGGTATATTACTTATTTGTGAAACTTACGGAATTTTCTGTAAAAGTTTTAGAACTATATTTCGAAGTGTTAGGAAATCATTACGAAGATCGTTAGCCAGTTTCTTAACTTCAGCAACATTAAATTCGTGAGCCGGCTGGAGAACTTTGGATTTCAAAGAATTCCACATTATTTTGAATCTTGGAGAATCATAAATTGGTAATTTTCCAATCCCAGCCTCCAACAAGTCATCAGCAAATCCAGTTAGTTTAAACTAAACAAAATAAAATGTTTAATAAATAATAATATAAAAAATAAATGTTCAATAAAAGTACTTTTATATCCAGTAGCATGATCTATAATAATGTGAACGTACACTGCTCCAAAAAAATGGGACAGTTCTATAGCTGCCGTTCTACTGGTCTACTGGGCCGATTGAAGAAATTCAACTTGCGTTTTTCATGTTCCAAAAGCCCGACCTAGGATATGTATTAGATTTATATATAGCATTGTTCTCATATAGATATTTTGACACAAAATCGGACTTTTTCAGAAATAACATGCCAATGATTTTACATATTTCAATTCTACGACTCAAATCACGCCAAACTACCAAGTTTTGTAAATCGCACGATAGTTTTAAAAAAATTAGCTCTTCAAAATTTTAACTGCTCAATGTTAACTTGAGTTTGGTATATATTTATTCATCTCTTTTTTTATTCTTATTGATTCTTCCTTTCATTTCGAAATTCAGGTTGATTCTAAATAAAAATTCACCTATTTTTTTAGATTTATTTTTAAGATTTGTTTTTAAATAATTTTTAATATGATATATAAAATTTTTACCATCATCTTAAAGTAGACGTATTTCTAAGCATACCTGCAAAAAATTACATTTATTTATTCAGAATTTCCGAAGTATATGTGAATTTATATGTTGGCGCGTTTTGAAATTTGGCATATTTGTAAAAAGCGATAAAACATCAAATGTGGTTTAGACACTTTGTTAAAATTATTTGAAAGTAGGAACGATGTGACGTTTTTTCATGCTCATGCACAATGTAGAAAAGTAGGAAAGAGTTTTTCTTTTTTTTCCGCTCCGGCATTATGGAAGGGAAAAGAAAATAGGTTGCTATATATTAAGAAGTTCGCCAAGTGAATTATTCTTGGTGCAACTGAAAACACTAGCGTCAAGATAGCTTTTTTAATTTCTCCGTAAATTTCGCACCAAATTTTACAAAATTTAATATCTAGGCATAATTTGAGCGGTAGGATCTAAATATGGAAAAAAAACCTTATTACGTTATTTCAGAAAAGTCCGATTTTTGTCTCAGAATACCTATGTTAAAACAATGCTATATATAAATCTAATAATATATATCCTAAGTCGCGCTTTCGAGACATGAAAAACGCAATTTGAATTTCGTCAATCGGCGCAGTAGAATGGGAGATATAGAACTGTCCTCCCCCCCCTTTTTTTTTTTTTGCGCAGTGTACATTTTAGCAAAATTATAATAATTTAAATCACCAATAATATCAACAGGTAACAGTTCGAAAGGTTCACATACAGATGGTAATGCTTGCAATTACGCCAAATTTCGTTTATTTACTTTTCTTATAAGGCTGACATACTTCACAATGTTCATAATAATTTCGAATATCTATACTGAGATGACAACTAATTTAACATTGAGCAGACACCAATATGATGAAATTGAATATGAGCTTTTTGAAGTAATTTAGTGCAAAAAGATACAATTTTAGACAAACTTTGTTTCTTTATAGTTAACACATCATAAATTTTCTTATACTTAGGGTTACAAGCATTATCTAAACTTTGATAATCTTTAATTTCCTCTAACGATTACAAATTAGTTTGTATACATAAATGTTGGGAAATGGGATTTCTAATTAGCATAACAGCTTCAAAATTAGTAGAACCTTTATATTTTTTTTATCAAAATCATGCATAGATAATTTCAATGATCATCTCAGTAATCTGCCTTTACGATATTTTATATTTTTAAGCCAAACTAGGGCAGCATGATCAGTATGGACAGTAAAATGTTTCCCGTGTAAATAGCAATAAAATTTATCAACAGCATCTACAATAGCTAAAAACTCTAATTCAGTAACTGCGCAATTTCTTTCATAAAATCTCAATTTTCGAGAACGGTAAAATATGGGATGTAAATTATTGTTTTAGAACTGCACTAGCACCTTCTTTAGATTCAACTGCAAATACATGATAGGGATATTTTGGATTAAATAAAGCTAATATAGATCTGTAAATTGTAGAATCTTTTAAATTCTGAAAGACTGTTTGACATTTTAATAATTTCAATATTTGCATTACTGGATTAATATTTCCCTGCTTGAACTTCATATCCTAGAAAATGATTTTCGCTAGCAAAATGTCACTTTAATAATTTTCTATTTTCTTTTTCACATATCTCAAATATTATTTTAAGATGCTTTAAATGTGTTTAAAAAATTTTTTGAAAATACTATTATGTCATCAAAATATAAGGCAAACTGAATTTGATATTTATTTAAAATTTGTCGAAGAGCACTTTGAAAAAACAGCTGAAGAATTTTTCCAATCAAAAGGTAATTTGTTAAATTCATAAAGATCAAAAATAGAGGTAAATGCTAATTTTTTATTATCTTTTTTATTTAACTTGATATGCAATTAACCAGATACCAGGTCTTTTGCATTCATTAATCGATCTAATATTGCATCTATTCTAGGTATGGGTTCAGGGACTGTTTTAGTAATTTGGTTACGTTTTCTATAATCTGTACATAATCTAGGTTTTGCATTATCGTTTCTTTTATAGGCTAAAATTACAAATGCAGCAAAAGAGCTAAATGATGGTTTCATTATACCTGCATAAAATAATTCGTCTATTTATTTTTTAATTTCAGCGTTATCTGTAGGGGATGCTCTATACGGGCGATCAGCGATTAGAAGTTCTGAAGTCATTTAATGATAAGACAACCTACATCATATTAATTTAGAAGTCAAACAACAAAAATCAGCTTTACATTTGCAAATTTTCACAGGACTAGTTTCGATGATTTTACTGAACTACCATCCTCAGCTGCTAAAGCGCAAATGAATGAAGTAAGATATAGTGATTATATAAGATAAGATAACAATGGCTGGCAGGAGTTAAGCTACTGGCGCCATCTATTGACTAAACGAGAAATAAAACATAATTCCCTTAAAGGCTGAAGGCAAAGACGAATTGCAATTAGGATTGTTAACTAGAATAGAAATTCAGAAATCAAACAACAAAAATCAGCGTTAATTTTCAAAATTTTCGCAGGACTAGTTTCGATGGTTTTACCGAACCACCATCCTAGATAGGAATCTATCTTGTTCATTTGCGGTTTTGCAGCTGAGGATGGTGGTTCGGTAAAACCATCGAAACTAGTCCTGCGAAAATCTTGAAAATTAAAGCTGATATTTGTTGTTTGATTTCTGAATTAGTACTTATTCGGCGTGTTATTGTGTCTTAATTATAGAATAGAAATATTTTTGAATGTGAAACGCCTCTAGAAAATCTAATTCACCAATGGAAGATGTTTTTTTGAATAATGATGGCTGCAGATAAATTGAAAGTGAGATTTTCAGACCAACAATGCTGGGCAACAAAAGACTTCTGTGTTTCTTTTTTCTAACATATGCCTCATCTTCCTTAATGCGAAATTTTAATGCTCTTTTATTTTGACCAATGTAAATTAAACCTCACTGGCAAGAAATCCTGTAAATACCCCAGAAATTCATATCCGGAATGGGGTCCTTGAGTACGGACCTCGGAATTTTATTTATAGGAAAATAAACGACCCAAAAGTTAAATTTCTGTAAAATACGTGCAATGAAATTGCACGTATTTTACATCATTCATTTGAGCTTTGGCGAGAATGATGGTTCGGTAAAACCACCGAAACTAGTCCTGTGAAAATTTGCAAATATAACGCTGTTTTTTGTTGCTTGACTTCTAAATTAATACTTGTTCGGCCATTTTTTTTTATCTTAACCTATATCATACTTACTTTTGCAAATATATGATTTTAATTATTTAATAATTCTTGCAACTTGGTATTTATGCAGGAATTTCCATACTCATTATTTGCATAATGATTAGCATAATCTTTTCATTTTGCGTATTTTCGCATAAACATTAGAAATTATTCTTAAGAGGATTATTTAAATAGACATCCTTACTCATATTCCCTTAAACGTTTTCTATTTCAGAAAGTTTTTGTAGACTACAGCGTTTCTCAAATCAAACACCAATTAATAGGATAATATTCGGTTTCGTCAAAAACTGGACATGTGAACTTCCGTTTGTCCACATTCTGTAACTAAATGTCCACCACCTTATTTAATGTATAGGAAATTACCTTAGCCCTTACTTGAAAATTAAAAAGGTATACCCACCAACTTAAGAAGCTAGGGAAACTGCTGAAAAAAATGTCTGATGATTATCATAATGTAAGCAAAATAGATATGACTCCCATTTTAAAGCAAGTAATTTTAAATCAGTATGAGGACTTGGCCATATCCTAACCCTAGAAACCTTTCACCTCTGGTCTCTTTTGCGCAATTATTCCTGGAATGCGATGAAATCTTAACCTAGCATCTGAATATTAATTTGTTATGTGTCTGAAATTTATTTCGCTTAATGTCAACATTCTTTTTATGTGATCCGAATGTAATCATGCCTTAGAATAAAAAGTCTTTGCTGCGCAATCTCACGCTCTTTGTTCGTCTTCCCACTTGCAAAACTGACATTCTGGTCGCTGCTTGGTTTCCTCTATTATTTCAGAAAGGGAAGTAGGAAAGGGAGGTACGCAATTAATGTTATAGCAGTCCCATATATAAAATTTCAACATCCTACGGCATCTCGCATAACGCAAAAATGATCATTTTTGCGTTATGCGAGATAGCCACATATGTACAGACGCCACGAAGAAAATCCCTTTTGAATCCATTTAAAATCAATTTTGCAATCCGTTTTGGATAAAAGAGTCCTTTATTTTCTGCGTACGTACAGATATCACGCAAAAAAATCGACCAAATGCATTCCGGAACGGTCAAATGGATATTTCCGTTGGGATATGATACCCGAATTTTTTTGCGATCACAATACTTCCTTTACGTCGCAAGAGGAAGTAAAATCATAGAAACGTTTCTTAAATAAATTTTTACAAAGGCGTTTCGATTTCGAAAATATTTCTAGATAAATAACAATTTAGTAAAGCTGATGTACCGTAAGGGGCACGTCTGAGGCACCACTGAAGCTGTTATACAGTAAAAGCAGCTTGTTCAGACTGGAATACTTGTGACAGATGATTGAAAACATGTCCCATCATTTTTAATTGCAAAAATAAATAAATAAACAAACAAACAAAATTAAATTAAAACGTTAAAGTAATACACTACATTGGTGTGCAAAAATTAAGGACGAGACGGTTTTTTCAATATAACTTTGTACAAAAGCTTTCCAAATCAACACATTTAATACCGTAAGATTCCCAATACGTAAGGACATGAGTAATGTAAGCAACACTTACTAAAAGAGAAATCAGAGGGATAAAAAGAAGCTTTATTGAAAAAGTAGCATGGCGCGCAATGCGACTGAAGGCCGAACATCCCTGTGATGGGTGTCCAGCAAGAAACATCCGGTCTTTAATAGGGAATATGATCTCCCCTGACTGCTAGGCAGGTTTCACAGCGTCTGCCCATGCTGAGAATGAGGGTGTCAATGAGTTGTTGAGGCATTGCTGCCCATTCGTCTTGCAGCGCCAATCGAAGCTCCGGAATCGTTACTGGCGGTAAAGTACGAGCTGCCAAGCGTCTGCCTAGAAAATCCCATACATGCTCGATGGGACTGAGATCCGGAGATCGTGCCGGCCAATCCATACGTTCAATATCCTCACTCTCTAAGAGCTGTTCGGCAGCTACTGTGCGATGACATGGTGCATTGTCGTCCATGAAAAGGAACTGCGGACCCATAGCGCCTCTAAAAAGACGCACATATGGAAGAAGAATCTCGTTACAATTACGAGTCCCGTTGACTGAACCTGCGTCGAAGATGTGAAGGTCTGTACGACTACCAAGCATGATGCCTTCCCAAAGGAGAACACCGCCACCTCCATACCTGTCCCTTTCAATGATGTTCGAGGGATGATTGCGGCTTCCCCGCTCTCTCCAGATGAGTATGCGACGAGAATCGCTACTCAGACTGAATCTGCTCTCATCAGTAAAGAGTACTCGTCCCCATTCATTGTCTCTCCAATTCCGGTGTTCCCGGCACCACAGAGAACGCCTTCTCCGATGGACAGGCGTTAGAGGTACACACCGTACAGGGCGTCTTGCAAACAGACCACCACCGTGCAGTCTTCTGGCCACGGTAAAACGCGATATCGTCCACTCGCCTGTGTCGTGTGTCTAGCGATTTCTCCCGCTGTCTGCCGCCTGTTTCTTCTGGCCTGTAAGGCAATATACTGGTCATCTGCGGGTGTGGTTCCTCGTGGATGACCACTACTAAACCTCCGGATAGCTGTTCCTGTAGTTTGAAATTGTCTCCAAAGTCGTGAAACGATGCTGTAAGCAATTCCGAACTCTGCAGCCGCACTTGTCACACTGCGGCCTTCCAACTTCCCAATGATTCGACCTCGGGTAAAAGCATCCAGATGTCGTCTAACAGATTGATTATTCTCCATTTCTCGCTGAGGCAGCAACTCGGTGTGATTTTAACTGCTATACGGCGTGCAATCTCTTTGCCAGAAATACTGATCTTACACCGACAACATGCTTTATACTACTCAGACACTCCCCCATTACGTCTACCTGCATAAACTGCGCATGTGCTACCGTACATCACTTTAATTTCCTGATTGGTCTTTCTGTTTCGCTCTGCCTCTTCGTTCAGCTGATATGCTAATTTTTCGACTTCGTCCTTAATTTTTGCACACCAGTGTATATTGTCGTGCGAAATGTTCCCTTCTAAAATGTTACTAAAACATTAGGAATATAAAGACATACCAAAAATTCGCCAAGAAACTCGGGATTACCCTGCTGCCTCAAATTTACTACTGTTAAGCTCTTCCGAATTGCCTCTAACGAATAATCGAACCTCCACTGCAAATCCTCGTCCAGGCTCTCCATCACGATGGAAATGAACTTATTGCTTTGTAGGTTGATGCAAAATTCAATGACTCTGGTCTTTTCGCCTATATGAAATAATTTCGAAATTTATTATTAGTTAATGCAAATTAAATAAAGTAAAAAAAATCTGAAAGCTTTTAGATTATATATTACGCCTAAAGCCGCGTTTTTAACGTTTTGTGTGTTACTTTCTTTCGTTAAATATCATGTTCTTCGAGCCTAAACCATAAAATTCAATTCAACAGCAATATCACAAAATAATTTAAAAAGAGCATGTCTTTAGAGTTCCCAATACACAGTCTCGAGCGCTGGTGATATTTTTTCCCCGTACAGTGTTGCCATTGCTCGCTTGGGAATCATTGAGTTTGTTACTCAAAAATTCGTTACAGTTTTACAAAATATGAAATAGATAGTAAAACAAATTCCAAATTCGGACTTTCAGATGCCCATATTCGAGTTGAAGACTACGTTATTAAATCTGACTCAAAATTTGATGTCTGTAGGTACCGCTGTTTTTTCACAATACACTCATGCATTCTGCATAAGTGTATATCATATTTTTCATTACTAAATCTCTTTAAATGTAACGTAGGTATCTAATATTTGGTAGCAGCAATTTGAAAAGTAAAATGCCGTTTTATAGCGCACGACGCAAAATGCCGAAACAATTAAAATTATTAGCACTTCTGGGTACCTTGCTCCTTTGGGCTAAAAATTAACTGAAGTTGCAAATTCGGTAGCAGGTTTTCATTAAAAATATGCACCAAATGAACTAAAATAAAAGAAATCTTTATAGAAAATTTTCAATTAAACTTCTTCACTTCATACTATACCATTAATCCGATAGATACTGCAGGTAAAGTGAGTCACTGTCTGTCAGAGAAAGTTTAAGTTTTCTATTCAATGATGTTTCTTAGTATTTATTTATGACGAAGTTAATTTGATAGACCACATGCAATGCTAGCATTTTAATAAAAATGCAGGCAATGATTATGCTAGTTAATATGCATAAAAAGCAATGTTTTTGGCACTTCTTGAATATTTAAGTTATATTTTTGTATTCTGTAATGATATCAATTGTGAATTAAATTGCTCAATGTTATTTCGGCTAAAATTATTGTATGTACTAATTAATAAATGTTATGCATATTAATGAAAGTTATTCATTAAGGAAACTTCTTGTAATTGCGTTAATTAACGGCAGGCATAACGAATGCTCACCTTTCGTTTACATCATTGTTTCCTCATTATGAACTGGAAACAAAGGTCAGTATATAAATAGTCAAATGAATTTTGCATGCTCTTTTGCTAGATACATGGAATTAAGTACTATTTATAAACTTAAGTTTGAATACTACCTTCCTCATTGAAAAGTCTTAGCTCCCGACATCCTGTATTATAATCAGTAAGAAGTGTCGCTTTTGTCGTATCGCCCTTGTAAATAGACGTGAATGTAGTTTCCACTACGCAGCTGTCTTCTAGGTGGCACTGAGGTTTTAAAACAGTTCCTTCCAAACTATAACTAAGCCTAGGTCTATGGTACTAGAAAATTAAAGGCACATTATAATTCTCAAAATTTAATACATAAATTAAGAATTTCTATGAAGCTTATTGTTTAAATAGAGCAAAACTTTCTTGTCCTCTTTCATTACTTACAATTATTCTTTTCACAATATAATTTTAGAATTATTTCTAGAAAAAATGCATATTAAGAAACCCGCATAAAAATGCTGTAAGATAAAGTAATTAAATTTAAGTTTTTTCAGGCAAACTAGAAGAAAATATTTAATAATGTGAGTTTCTCTCACCCAGAACCAAATGATAATTAATTCCACCTACAAAAAATATTTTCATGAGTGGACTGGCGAGATCAGAAACTCAGCTAATGGAATTATATGTATGCTTCTCTGAGACATATATGTAACTTTATTGTCTTTCGATTATGTTTATTTTCCCTCTTACATGCTTTTATAATTGGATTTTAAAATAAGAGGAAATTTGAGGGTTTTTTTTTTGGAGGTTATTGCTTTGTAATATTGATATTTATTTCATTATTCACACATCTTCAGTATTCTTGCAATGTACTTCAATATGTCATGCATTTTAATTTTTATAAGTTGTTCCCACCACATTACAGTACTACTATTCTTGGGCTTGCACACGTTTTTAAATTGTCAACTGGCCCTGGGTGAAAGAAACTCATATTATTAAATATTTCCGATTTTTCGCAATACACAAATTTAAATCTAAATTAGCTATTTTGTGTTATTGTAGTTTTATGCGTGTTTAAAAATCAGTTATGCATTACAATTTTTCTTTCGGGCTTTGTTTATACCTACGTATATACTATGTTGCATAAGTCCTTACTCGGCCTTTATTTGAGTAACCGTAGGTCGTAGACCTGTACTTGTACTTACAAAAATGGTTTGAATGAGGCAGATTCTCATTTTGGCATTTATATATTTAAAAATTCCAAAACATAAGTCTTTGCGTCATTTAAAACAATTTTGTAACTGAAAGTGCATGTCTACGACCAACGGTTGAGAAAAAGTTGTGTAACGGCTTTCGTGAACACAGAGTGTACCTATTATATATATATATATATACAAAGTGCACCTATTATATACATATATATACAGAGTGTACCTATTATATATATATATATACAGAGTGTACCTATTATATATAATATATATGTATATATAATAAAAATATAATTTTAATTCTAGACCTTTTAGCCTCAGACTTAATTAGGAAACTCTGTCTTCAATTTACATGTTGTTTTATCAGATACTATGCCCTGTTTTTTCTACTGGAGACTCTACATTTTAGTGGGCTTAAATTATAAGGTATGTTTGGTTTATTTTGGTCTTTTACAAATTGCTTTTGGACCTTATTTCTTATTTCACATGGGACTGCATTCTCCTTCTTTTATTCTTCTAATTTTATTTTGATTTTTATTGGCATTTATTCTTATTAGAATTGATCTTTTGATCCATTGGCTTCGGATGAGCGAAATTCATTACAAAAAAATACTTCCATTTTCTAGTTCTTAGCAAGCTTACAACTATATATTTGTTACTTTTTTCTGTTGCAGCTTAAAGCCTGTTAAAAAAGTGTTTTGCTTCTATTTAAAAAAATTTTTTTGGACAACTGTATTCTTAAGCTTGGACAAATATATACATTTAGAGAAACTCATAAAATAGCAACCTCACCGTATCTTATTCATTAGTAAGAGATGGCTTAAGCATTAGGTACAGACTAAATCGTGACAAACTGCTTTCTAATTGAGGAAACAGGATGATGTGGAAGAAGAAAAAAATACAGTAGAGGTAAGACTCCTTGAAAACATAAACACCTTGTCAGGCTTCTTGACATCATAAATAGCCATCAGTGACTGAAATAACATTTGGAGAATTTACAATATCCTCGCGTGGTGAGAAGGACGGCAAGGATATTTTTGACTCCGAGGAAATTATTACTAACCAATGAAATTTCGTTTTCGCTTTATTTGACAGAAGATTCAATTTCAGAGATCATGAACACTTAATTCAATTTTAATTTCAATTTGATGAGTGTAAAAAAAATCAAATATCACTTGTTAAAACCAGAAGTATTTGAAAAGACATTTTTTAAAACAGGCGAAATGAAAATTTTATTTTAAAATTTGTTTAATGTAATAATGCGGTTTCGAATTTCCTATTGTAAGGAGAGAAAAAATTAACAATTTCTATTGCTTTTTTAAAGGGAATGATGTTTTTGCTTTCTCACTTAAATTCTCCAAAATCTATACACACAGCTCGCACCTAAAATTATAGAATAATTTATATTTAGAAAATGTAAGAAACAGAAAAGTGTTATTCCATACCTCAGGTTAATTGTCTAATTATTTGTTAGTTACTAATTTAAAATCGGTTAATGTTAAGAAAATAAGCGATAATATCATGTAATAACTTTGCATTTTTATTTCTCGAAACGAAATTATATTCTTTCAATATTTTTTCTATTTAAACATTCTTGAGGTCCACCAGTGGCTGAGTTCTAATACAGCTACATACTGGTAGTTCGACTCGGGTTCGAATATCGGTCAAAAGACTGGATGCTCTGGAGTTTTCATGATTTTCTTTATGTGGGACGTGAATATGAACTAGTTTTCCTTAACGCCTCTGCAATGCTGTGCGTGCTTTTCTAAGCAAAAGGTTTGGAGGTCAATGGATTGGTCGCGGTGGACCAGTTTCTTGGCCACGTTCACCGGATTTATGTCCAATCGATTTCTTTGTATGGGGTGCTATGAAAAACATGGCGTACGAGAACACTGTTGATAGTGCTGTGGACCTTGTAGCACTCCTTCCTTTTCTATTTCCTACCTCCCGACCAAATATTGATGATGAATTCTGAATCAGTCTGTATTTTCAATTTATAATTTTACTAAACATTATATTTAAACGCTTTTTACAAAATTAGGCATTGAAGTTGATTTTAATATTTGTAAAAGGTTTTGAATTCATTCTAATGCACCATGCTTAATGCTTTTAATGCATCAATTCTAATATGTCATACATCATTCTTTTTATTCAAACAATTTACAAATTACGTTTTCCAAAACAGCAAAGCTGTCTCAATTATTCCTAAATTTTACTAGCAGTTACATTTGTTTCAAAAATCTATCTTATTCATGTCGCAAAGTACTCTTTCTCACTAGAAAGTTTACGCAAGTTTAATGGCAAGCGGTATAATTTAAAAGAAGAAGGTTAATCTTAACTATTGAATTGATTTTATTTTGATTACTTGCAAAGCGCAGGAGCATTATCTTCCTACAGGAAGAGGAATACTTTAATGAGGACGTTTTAAAAGAAATTAACTAGTATTCATGTTGCAGCTGGGAAAACCATGAAATCTCCCATGCAGCCAGCCCATTCGCCGGATTTAAACTTATATCTAACTATTCACTTTTAGTGCTCTTACCGCTCGAGCACTAGTAGAGACACAACCGTGTTAACTGAGTAAACTTTCCAGCAGTCCCTGTAAGTAGACACATGGTTATACATTGGTTTCCAAAAGTTAAACAACAAGCAGAACGCTGACGATAACCCAAAAAGCATGCAAGCAACCTGGAGGAAAATTTCTGATAATAATTGCTACTATATCAACATTTTGAAATCAACAGGAACATAAAATCTTCTAAAATCGGGCATACAAATTAAACAAAAAAATTTCAATATAGAGTACGACCAGCCCGAACAGCAATACCCGCCTACCCGCGATGTCTTATGCTGTTTGTCATACTGTCAATGAGCTGCACGGATAGCAATGACCACTGATAGGTAAAGCAGTTCTAAGCCCATCTAGTATTTGGGGAGAAGATTGGAGGCCAGCAACTTACCTCCCGAGACCGTCCCACATATGCTTAATGGGATTAAAGTTGAGAAAAATGTGCTGGCTACTTGATCTGGACAAGAGTCTCTTTTTCAAAAAATTGGTGCACGAGGCGAGCAGTGTGAGAACGAGTATTATCCACTTGCAAAATGATGGTATCACCAGTTGCGGAAACATAGGAAAAATAATACGATACAGTATGTTGTCTCTAAAACTCTGAACATTGGGATTTCTATGTGGCAGCATATACAGGTCTGTACGCTCCCTTACACCTAAAGATACTCCACCCCTTTTTAGAACATTACCTCCTACATAGGTATTGTTGCGTTTCTTGTACGGGTTCATGAATTTGGAGTGACTGACGACAACACTTGATGAAGAATCAGACACGATTTATTTAAGGCGTGTTACTCAGAGCAGCTCCAAAATCACGTTTACAGTCGTCGAAAAACTACGGCAAGCACGCTGAAACAATCAACAACACAGCCTTCAGACTATCGGGCCATAACGGTGAAGACAGCTTCACAACAAAGTCCCAGAGTACAGCTCCCGAATCTGTTCGGCCGTTCTCGGAACTCAACGTACTCTCGAGACTCTCCACGCTACAACTCGCGATGCACTCGACGAATCACTCGCTAGACTCGACGATGCACTCGCTAGACTCGCGATACTCTCGACGAGCAACTCAACACTAGACTGACAATCAACTCGCTAGACGAGGGACTGACTAATTGCTACTTCTCGTACCAGCAGGGTGTATATAGCTGTGAGAATAGTAACTTCTCATACCACGCAGTTTCTCATCGCAAAATTAATCTTAATCGCGGAACTGCACGTGTGTATATAAGCACTGGTCAGACTGCTTTGCCCGTGTCCTACCTGCTGTCGCTTGGCAATCAGCGAGACCGTACGATGTGCGGGGCTTTGAACATGCATATCTCGCTGATGGAGTTTCATCCTTCCTGCAAATTCGAACATGGATTGTCAGCATACTTTTGCATAAAAGAAAGCATACTGCAATATATTTAGATGAAAATGTTCTGCTTAAAAATCCATCTGCCACGGTAACTTTCTAAAACCTCTCAAGCAGATTATCAATAGGTGTTCGACTCCAGAATGTGCATTACAAGCGGTGTGTCACCAAGTGATCCTGTTAAGTGTGTTAATGAAAAGTGAAAGTAAAAATATTAGATCTTGTACATGTACAACAAGGATGTGGTCACTGCACGAAATTAATAGGAGAAAATTTCGACTGCATATATGTACGATGAGACCGGATTGTGATTTATCTCCGAATAGTCACGTTTTCGGCATTCGTCTACTGTTCCATTTTAGATTCGCACGTTTTATATTCTAAGTTATGATATTTTGATATTTTATGTGCTGTGTCCTAACTAATATATGTTTAATCCAGAAAATGTGTTTTTGATAAAATAAATGTGAAATTGGAAAAAGAAATTTGACTCCGCAAGTCTCATGCATGTGGGTGATTGGGTAAGTGAAATATTTAATTATTCTTGATACTAGATTTTAATTTGCAATGTACTATCAATTAGAATTCATGCCAGTAAATATTGGGCACATGTAAATTGATTAAGGATTTCTAGACATATGTTTGGATAGATTGTCACATTACAACACCTCCTAGTAGTGCACCCCACTACAATAGCTTTCGTCCTGCCTTCGAGAACACTCTAGGCCAAACCGGCAAGAATTCGTTTTAGAAGGTTCTCCATCCGTCTATGACATATCGCCAATTTTGTCCCCAAACGTCGCCAAATGGCCGAATTCCTGCCAAATATTGCAACTCTGCCTTCCCTTGCCATTTTCTGGAAACCTAAACCCGCTTTGCGTGGAAACTATCTTACCACAGCTGGACATTTCGCATCAGTATCTCTTTCCGTTATGTTAGGCGGAAGATGTCGAGTGTTTGTTAATTTTCATAAGTAAACACACTGAGAATCATTCTGTAAAGCAAAATGGGATTCATCTGCTAACACAACAAATCTCCACTGATTTCCAGTTCAGTTTACATGACTATGTGCCCAATAGAAAGGCTCTCTCCGGTGGTAGGAAGTAAGCGGATGAACAATGAAGGTTGCCTAGCATTTAGTTCTCTTTATATAGCCTTCTGCGTATTGCCATGGCTTATGCTATCCAGAAAAAAGAGTACATTTAAACTGAGATGGAGTTGCAGTCCTGTTGCGACGTGCACTAAGTAGACCTTCGGTACGTTTTCCAGAGGCTGAAACAATAATTAGAAATTCGTTCGACAACCTACTTACATTACAACAACATGCTTACGGTCAAAATTCAGCCCTCGTGCATCGTCAGATTGTCGTTCACCTGCTTCTAATCGGTCTATGGCTTTATAACACAATTCTCCTGGCAAATGTCGCCTCGAACTCATTTTTACACTTCGGCTGCCTCGAAATTGTTTAATATTCGAAGTTCATTGAACAATGATTCCCTCATAAACAGATGGATTTAAGCTGTATTTGCGCAAAGCGATGGCAGCACCTGCTGTTTGTGTAATGCTACTCGTTGCAGCTTGCTTTTATTTGCAACATATTCAAATTTCAAGTTTCAAACTACTTTAGCCGATTTATTGTCATTTTATCAATTTGCTGCTTAACTTTTGAAAGCCAGTGCAGCTGCTATGCCTTGGTAAGTTACTCTATGAATTTAGGTACTGCCAAGGGCAGTAGTTCAGAGCTACTGCAAAGTTTTGAAACTAGGATATTTTGCATAAATCCACTGAAACTTATCAATTAGGGTAAGTCATGTTTGAAATTTTCGTATGAAAACGAGCCATCGTTGTAGTTTGTGTTATCCTTTTAAGCTTATAAAACATCAAGATAGCATAATAAATAGTAATGTAGTTTTTAATTGGATTTGACTTTATGTCATAAATAAAGCAGTTGCAAGGAGCTAAAACAGTTAAATAAATCATTGGTTAATCATTAGGCTGTAAAGCAAATTTAAGTTATCTTACACTACATAACTTACAAAGTATATCACAAATCTTAATTTAAATGGATGCACTTACTATAAAAGAGAATTTGTTTTCATTTCTTGGGAAGTTACCAAGTATGTAGGCTTCTACATTGGCTCCGGAATCATCCTTCCAGCTCCATAAAATTGCAAAATTTCTTTCATCACCGTTCAAAGATCCATTTGCTTTCATTACAAAATCCAAGTGCTGTTCATCTAAAAAATAAAAAAAAAAAATAAATGAAATGAAATAACTCTTTTTAAACTGGAAGTATTCTTCTCTTATATATTTGTTGATAAAATTCCCTAAAACATTTAACTAATATAAAAATTTCCAATAATGTTTTTATTAAAATACACTATTTAAAAAATCAACTCAGAAACAAAACAATTCAGAGGCAACTCAGAAAAATTTATCCAAAAAATTTGGACAACCATAAAAAATCCATATAAATCCTACGTTTGCTGAAGTATGGAACATGTAAAATGGGAAGTACCTTTGGCAGAATTTGAGCCGCCCTACTGTGGCAGTTTTCCCGGTGATAAGACGGCTATATGACCAATGGTTCGGCCATTTCTAACGAATGCTTAAGAAGCAAGTGTCCGGGCGTTTAAATAGAAAATATTAGAATTAAATACAATAAATTTTTTTTCTATTTTATTTACAATGTCGTTTTTGTGAATGAATTAGTTTTAAATCACTTTAAATTCTAATACAAGCCAACCCTCAAAATTCAGTAGCAAAGAATTTGATGAAATGATCCGGCTTACACACAGAAATATACAATTGTGTGTGTTTTTTAAAACCCTTAAAAAAAGGGTTCTCTTTAGTATTCTTACAAAAATAAACATTTTTTTGATTAGCTCTGTAAAATTTCTACCTTGATGATAAACGTTGAGCAGTATATTTCCGCTTCTTCCTTCCGTTTTCTCAAGAAATAATTTTCCAATGATTTTGTCCTCAGGATTGTTAGAATAATCCATTGTAGCTTTGGCAATAAAAAATTTATTAGAAGAAGGCTGGAGGTCTCCGATCAGTTCTATTTCAATAGGCTGAAAAGTAAAAAATATACAAATATAGTTTCTGGCATGACTTAACTCCAGTGAACACGAACTCTAAAAATTCCCAGAATCAAAGATAATCAAATTTAACTTTTGAGTATAAGAAAAAACAAACACTGTTTGACGTAGGTTTTTTTTTAGCAGAAGCGTTTTTAACGTTTCAATACTATTGACTTTTTCAGTGTTACTTATATTTTATATGTTTATTTTAAATTGGAACTGGCCTCAGCTTGTTTCTTTCTTTCCTTTTTTTTAAAGTTACAACAGGTACAGTACTATCGCAATTTTAAGCTGCAACTAAATAAGTACTACTACTACTGAAGAGTGTGATATCGCTGCAAGCGCGTCTACTGAAATAAAATCTACGTCAATGATCATTGTTTTTCTACACTCACTTTTACTTGGCTGGACATTCTTTCCCAAATTCAGTTTTAATACACATGGAGCTTCCGCTCTTTACGAAATATGCCTCACATGCTTTATTTTTTCTATATTCGGCTTTTCCATTTTCGCTTTTTCTATCTTTGGTTATTATATTGCACTATTATAACAGGCTTTTCCAGGCCACTGGATAAACTTGTGTCTAGGCAGCTTCGGCCTGCAGAGCAAATAATCAGTCTTCACATAGATTAGAACCATCGTTTATTCGGTGGTCGGTTCGGGTTTGGCAGGAGGGCTTTGGCTGTGGGGAAGCTATGTGGTCAGATTCCGATGGCCGTTCGAGGGGGTTGGCTCCTCTCGGTCGGTGTAGAGGGACGGACGATGTCTGGCTTTTGTAGTGTCTATATAGTACCGCGAGAGGACGTGGTGACCCCGTTTGTGGGAATTGTAACTTTGTGAATTGAGTAGTCGGAGTTGAGAACGGCCCTATGGATCTCTTAGTGATGGTCGCCTGTCGGTCTCTTCTCCGATGAATTTTGTTCCCTCTGCAGCGACCAGAAGGAGTGGCGCCCTCTCGGATAGGCCCTAGTCTCAATTCTATTTACCTTGTATGGGAGGCTTCGAACCTTCGAGGGCAGGGGCTCCGGCTCTAGTTTACTGTATTATTATAAAAATATTGTAACAGAAATACAAACTACTCAAAAATGTTTTCTCGCGTACTCTATTAATCTGACTTCTTCTTCAAAATGGGAAAAATTCAAGAATCAATGAAAAGAATTAAAATTTTCTAAAGTCCCACTTTCCTCAAGCGAAGATGCACTCTTTAAGTTATAAAATGTTAAAGTTGCAAGCTTCTTGCTTTCCTTGGTGCCCACCAGCAGCCGAGCGATAAAGTCATTGAACACTTAAGCAGTTCGACTTGGGTCCGTTTGCAGACGAACGGGTTGGCTGCATGGGCGCCTCAGTGATTTTTCCGAGTGTAACGTGGAACCACGTTGCGTAATTCCGCTTCTTCCTACGCAAACCCACGTCCTTGCCTAATAATTAAGCGGGGTTCAAGACTTAAACGCTTGTTAACAATTAAATGGGTAACTGCGTATGTCAGGTCCTGCAATCAATGTCAGTTAATAAATGATATTAATTACAGCCCGGCCGGGTACTTAAATAGCATTCGCGCTACATTTCCGAATGAAATTTTAGGCATAGATCTTCTTGGTCCCTTTCCCCCAGAGCGAGTTAAATAAAAATCGTTTTCTTTTAGTAATAGTAGATCATTTTTCAAAATGGACAGAAATTGTTCCACTTAAACGCGCGTCAGCCAAAACAGTCGCAGATGCATTCTTACACAGATACATTTTAAAATACGGTGCACCGATAAAAGTCATTAGCGATAACGGAAAACAATTCATTAGTCAAATATTTGAAAACATATGCAATGGACTTGGCATACGCCATATCAAAATGGTTCCGTATAGACCACAGGCTAACATAGCAGAAAGAGTTAATAAAAAACATTGTAAAAATAATTCGCAGTTACGTTAGCACACATCACAAGCGCTGGGATGGCTACATAAATGAATTAGCTTATGCTTTAAGAACGGCAAATCATGATACTACGGGAAAACTCCAGCAGAATTATTTTTAGGCAGAAAGTTAATTACGCCTTTAGATAAATTATTCTTTGTGCAACAAAGAGAGCAAGAGTTTAAACAAAAAGATGTGCAAAAACTTATTGATCAGGCGCTTAAAAGCTCGGATACGGCAAGAAATAGGCAAAAAGTTATATTATGATAGAAAACGCCGTGAAGCAGATTTTAAAGTTGGGGATAAAGTATTGAAGCGGAAATTTTCTTTATCAAGTGCCCCAGACAATTTTACTGGCAAAGCTAGCTCCCAAATTTGAAGGCCCCTATGTAATTCAGGAAATCAAAGGAGTAGTATTATATCTTAAGAACGAGAGAGGGGAAATCTGTAAAGCAAGTCCCGACCAGGTGAAAAAATACTATAATCCAAATGATTTTGAAATCCTTAAAAGTTTCTTGCAGGACTCAAGTCTAAACGAAAGTAGAAGGTCCAGAAATAAACAACCGTATTCCACCACCCAAGAAAGAGAACAGAGAACTGAAGAGAGACCTAGCCCTTCTACAACCCGGACGTCGGTATCAAAAAGAAAAATGAAAACTTTCAAACTCCAGCGTTTAAGAAAAACAAAATACAGATGCCGCCGGTAAAGAAACCGTGGTAAAGAGGAAAACACCACCTACAAAGGATCGCAGGTAGAAATTACTACATCAAGGAGAACGCTTCCACGGCCCAGAGAGTCAGGTGCCAAGCAAGGCCGCCGTTCCCGAAACTGAAAACACAGCAGGAGAGGAACGAAAAGACCACCACCAACAGAAGAAATTCAAGAAGGACTCCAGACCGGAGGACGTCAAGACCAGCCGTCCCAGGGAGCAAAACGGAAAAGACAACAACCAGACGATTACTCACTCAAGAGGCCAGCATGTAGAGGGCGAAAAAGAAAAGCAACGTGGACGACACTCGGAGGATCACATAAGGAGAAGATTGACATCCATGAAACCATAACTTGGGATCAAGTTTGCCAGAAAGGATGACGGAGTTTCCAAGCATCGAAAACTCAAAGATAAGTTAAAATCTTCTATAAATTTTTTTCTTTTGTTCCGAAATGTTATGCGTAAGTACGAAGTTCTATGTTTTGACGAAAGTCAATATGTCTCGGTTGAGACTTAGTTTTGTTTTACTTTATTTAGCTAAGGCAAAAGTATTATTTTCTTTAAGTGTAAAAGCTAAAAACAAGCATTTTCTGTTGGTCGAAAGACTAATTCTGTTATGTTAAAGCCAAAATTTGGCCGAAGATAAAAATAACTTCGTATTCTTGTATTAATAAGAATTTTAGTTTCAGTGCCGCCAGCTTGGCGAAGAATGAGTAAAGTAAAAATTTATTTTTCTCTTATTCATTTTATGGTAAATTGTAAAAATCATATGTATTAAATTTTGTAAATGTACGTAAATACTTGAATGTTATGTAAAAGTAGAATTTAGTCTAGAAGCATAAAATTTTAGATGCTAAAAGTGAATGCTCAAAAGCAATGAAGTCAAAATTTAAGTATTAAACTGTAGATAAAGTCATGCTTTAGAGCGAAAGCCTGCATGTTTAAAGATGAATGAGGGGGAAGTTAGAATGAATGTGTTTTGTAGGGTTCTCCACCTACACTTGAATTTTAAGAATGTTAAAGTAGCTCATTCGAGTTGTAGAATGTCGAGTAAGGTGTGTCTATTTGGTCGTTGAATTCTAACAAATCATGGTGGTTAGGGGAAGTGTTGTAAGACTAAAACACGAATATTCCCGTTTGACACACACACACACATGGTGGAGAGCCAGGGTAAAGTTAAATTAATGCTTGAAAAATTGAATGAATGTGAATTAAGCAATAACTAAGAAAAACGAATCGTTCAAAAACAAAATTTATTCAGTGTCAAGAAAGTGTAAATTATAATGTATTTAGAAAGATACTGATACTTATTCCTTCCAGATGCTGGAAGGAAAGACCAAGATTGATTGATGAAGTCCAGGAAAAGTTGCTGTAAGAAGAGAGAGTTAAATAAGTATCTACAGAAATTTATTATACCTTTTTGTGACAAACAGTTTTTTTTATGTAAACGAGGCTCTCTTAAATTTAGTTCAGAATTGTGGAAACTTTACAACAGGTCGTTTGTAGGACCTGCTTCCAAGTTTACCAAATTCTGGCAGCGGCAAATGTAGGGTTTATATTTATTTTAACTAACATTTATTTTAAGTTTAAACTATCTTTCCTGTCAAGCCTTGCTTTCCCCTGGAATTGCCAATGCCAGAGTACGTAAATTTTAGTAGAACGCGCAATGTATTCAAAATTGTTAGCGGCCTGTGTGCTTGCCTCGGTAGATAGTTAAATCTTTCAACGTAATATTCAGAAGTTTGCTGAATTGTCAGCGGTATTTAGAACGCGGTTAGGTTAGTTACGTTTAGAGAGCCTCGTAGTTAGTCACTTGTTATTATTCTTTTTTTAGTTTCTTATTTTTATTTTACCGCCGGGTCGGCGTAGTTTGTGAGCGTCAAGAGCACGCATCTGTAATTTTTAAAGTTGAATATAAAGGAATTTAAACCCTTCTCAAGAATTTGTATACTTTCCAGTTCATAGCAGTCACCACTATTGTTGCGTGCAGGTTGGGAGCGCGCAACATTACAAACTGAAATAAAACACTAATGTGTAATACTTACCTTTTCAAATATCTCATGGCTAATAATGATGTCCAGTTTCGAAGGGTTATCATCTCGAAGATGATTTTCAAATCTTAAGTCTACAATTAAATTGCGATCAGGATGATTTCGCACATCTGTGGCTAGTTCCAGCTTTGCTTTAGGATTCCGAAAAGAGAGCTCAAATGTTCCCTTTGCAACAATTTCTCGGGATGGAAGGATAATTCCTAAACGTATACTTCTGGCACTTTTTTCTTTACCAAACTGCAAATCATAACCATAGCGTGTATCTCCTTTAAAAATGACTGTGTGAAAACGGGACAGCTCATTTGTACTGACTTGGATTCTCTCAACTGAAAATTCGACGTCTGCGCGCTTGTAAGTTAGTATCCATTTATCAACTTCGCCAGGCTCCTTTTGCACATCAATGCTTATACAGTTGTCATTCTCATTGCGACATAATTTTGTCTCGTATTTTAGATTTCCTTTTTTACCTTTGATGAAACGAACATTTGATGTGTAAGATCTGGAAGGTAGGTTTACTTTAATTAAGTAGTTTCTCTCGCGCTGTGATTTTGCCTCCTGATTCACTGTTACTGTTAAAAACTCTTTCTCTTTATACTTAAAAAACATTTCGCTATTAAATCCTTTTTTTCTTTTTTTCAGTTCACCAGATCCTGTTACTATGCTTGAAGAATCTACATCAATATTAAACTCGTATTTTGTTACTTCCCCAGAAGTTTGAGTTTTCGAAAACACATGAAGAGATGGCGTAATTTTGCTAAAAAGTACGATTTCGCCTTCGAAATCAATTATACTGCGTGCTTTCAATGTGGACTTAACTTCATACAGTTTATTATTATTAACATCAAATTTAGATTCTATTTTTGCATCTTCACTATTCCTTAAATCCGCTACTGCATTTAATTCCAGAGATTGAAGATACTGTAAAGATGCAGACATAGAATGATGAAAAGCTGCGAATCTTGCAGCATGTTCAAAGGATAATACGAAGTTAATTTTTCGTTTAGTAAATGGAGTAAAAACAGTTTTCCATGTATATTTTCCATTACCGTAATCAATGGCAGTGCTTCCTTCATAAATAGATTTCTGATGTTGTGAGACTATGAGATTTGATCTAATTTGACCAGGCCAGCCTCTTTTCCTCTGATAATCAATCTTCGCGACATAGTTAATTATAGTCATAGGCCTGATTCGATATTCTGCAATGAAATCCCTTGTTGCTTCATTCGAATCTGCCATAATTCGAAAGTAGATCTCCCTCCCATCGAACGTTTTGAAAGGCGAGGACAAATATGCTCCAGCTTCTATTTCGAAATGATTCGCTCGCTGTATAAATTTTCCTTTAAAATCTGAGCGTAATTTTTCAGATCCACTCCTAAGATACCTCGCTACACTTGTTAAATGTCTATCCTTAATTTCATGACTCAATTCAAGTGCCATTGGTTCCATGTTACCTGAAAATTCTGCTTTGAAATAGTGTGGACCTCTTAAAAGATCAGTACTTAATTTCCCATTCAAATCGACATTGATGGCACCGACGTAGTTCATAGTAGCTGTGATCATGTACTTCTCAATGTCGTCTTCCCGTTCTAGGTAAGATTTCGCGTTTAGGACTAATTTCTGCTCTGAATCGTTATCTGCATCCCACTGAACATTGAGGTCTAGTACATTTGTCCCACCAGGAGCAAGACTTCCGGTTACAAGAATTCGCCTTCCGTCCTTTTTAAAGTTGATGTCCGCTTGTATCGAACGAACGGGAGCTTGAGAACTTATTAGGACATTTCCATCAACATAAGGAGAATTCAAGAATATAGTATTTGTACCTCCTCGTTCTAATTTGATATCTAGCTCGAATGGAGATTGTTTTCCAGTATCTGTGAAACTGTTAAAATGGAAAGTATCCGCTGTGAATTCTAAAGTAGCTCGTTCCATTACAGGTACTGATATTCCTGGAAAGTTTATTGTGCTATTAAGTTCATGATGAAAATGACTTTCACTTTTGATTATATAAGTGTAGTCAATCGTTACCTGTTTTCCACCACTTCGTTCAGCAACTATTTTACCTTCATATTTTCCAGGTGCTGTCTCTACGAGTTGGTCTCTGTAATTAAGAATATAAGTATCATGAAGAACCGTAATTTCAGTAGCTATTTTAAGAGGTTCACTGGAAAGATGTTTATAACTAAAATCAAGTCTTGATTGTTTTTCCTTTTGCACTTTTATACCAAAATTAAGGATCAGTTTTGGCTTTTCCACAAAGTCCCAAATGCTAGTAAAAGCAGCAGATGTATCAATGTCCAAGCAAGATATAGTTAGTCCTATTTCATTTTCAATATGCATTTTTGAAAATGAGTCGAAATCTCCATGTAAGGCATTCTTCTGAATAATGCGGACTAAGTGGGTGTCGTCTTCGAAATTTTCGCCGTAACGAAAAGTAATATCATTTTTTAGGTGGTATAAGGGTTTGAAACTAAAATCCCATTTTAACATGGTATTTAAATCTTGATGTTCAGCCAGAAGTATCTTTGCGTCGAGACTAAAGCCTAAGCGATCTCTGAATTCTATATTATTAAGTTTGGCGTTGACAGTAATGCTTTCATAACTTCTACCGTCAGGTTCATAATGATGACCCAAATCCAGGAAAAGACCACTCGTCGCTTCATTCCCAAAGCTACCTTGTATTCTATGTATCTGAGAAAATGCGTTAATGTTAAATTCTGAATTCAATTTCCAATCGGATTGCAAATTGTTGACTTCACCTTCTTTTGCCAGATTTCCTGCGAAGAAACAGAAAAAAGCATTTCAATACACATGTCACACAATCCCTGCTTAAAGATATTCGGAGGTTTAAAAAATACAGCAGAGTTTAGTGAGCTTTTACACCGTATACCGTAAATTATTTACTTTTTACACCCTTGATATTTTCATAGAAAGTAAGGATTAAAGTTAAATGAAATATTGGATATTAATATAAATTTTTGGAAAATATCTTGTTGCCAGACCCAGAAGTGTATTGAGAGTTTTATTGTTTCGACCAATATTTGCCCATAAATAATTTTCATTGAAATAACTATATTTCAACTATTTAGAAAGACAAATATACAAATATACATTTCAAATATACAAATCTTTTTCAAATATACAGAAATTAATGAAAGAAATTTGTATTTACAAGGATATATTTGTTTTTTGCTGCATACCAAATTCAATTTTAGTGTAATATTGGATACTGCTGGTCGCAAAGCATCTTCAGCGTTTTTCAGTGTTGAACAATATTTAGGATTTAAGAGTAAAAACTGAAAAAGTTTTTTAACTTAAGTACGCGGTGCTGAGTGACGTTTAATGCCGTTTCAGAAATTAAGCAAAATTCAGTTCTAGTTCCGATCCAATATTCAATCAAGAATTTTCATAGAAACTTTCAAGATTTAAGTCACTCGTTAGGTCAATAAATACCTTTTGAGCTTAATAATGGCAGCTGATTAATCTCATTAATGCCAAATAATGTAATTTCTTTAAATGTCTCATTAATGTAATTTCTTGAAATTCATGTATCTGAATAAAATCTTCGACGCCATTTGGGGTCACGACCCACTGTCTACAAAACACTGTTTTAGCCAACTGAACAGCAGTATGGGGAGCGATTAGGTACGTGAATGGTGAGGAATGTTTCTGATTCCATTAAATAAAAAACATCGATTATATATTGTATATATATATATATCGATAGAGAGAGAGAGAGAGCACATAAAGCATTCGCAAAAAAAAAATTGCCAAAATATTTGCAAAAAAAGATTAGTAGATCTAGTTCGATATATATTACACCATAATTAATATATTTTATACAGAAAATATTCTTAATTTTTTGACGTAATTTGTATTTCTCTCATTTTCTTATGAAAATAGTTTATGAAAAGTTATGAAAAAGTTTATGAAAATAGAAATTCTTTATAATAAATTAAATTTTAATTGATCATATAACTCAATTTATATACCATTTATTTTCTTTTTAGGAGAAGCCTGCTTGTAAAATTAATAACAAAGGTGCTAGTAATGCTAATTAGCCTTTCTTTTTCATTTCTTTTTTAGTAACATTTATATGCATGTATTAGATAGAAATTTATCTATCCGTAATATACCGTTTTAACTTGCAACTCATTTTCGGTTATTACTGATATTCGTCATCCTGGTTTAAATTCTCTTCTTAATTAAAGAAATACATACCTTTGATTGTGAAAGGTGATCTGAAGCTACTGGATTGCATATTTATTGTTATTTGCTCCTTTCGACCCCTTGAGAAGACAACAGTGCCAGAAAATTCCATGGGCTGGAGGTACGGTAAAGTCAGAGAAAGCCTAGGCTGGTATTCAATAAGCCGAGAACCTCTAATATCTTTCCCAACGTCTAATGTCAATACATACCGTCTGGTATTATCACCTAACGCTTCGACATTCAGTCGTATCAAGTCATCTCGAATTTGTAACTTGCCTGTAATTTGAACAGAACAAGAATCTTAAATGGTTATGAATAAGGTAAGTAACTAAGAATATGAATATGAATTAATGAGATTAATTATACGTTCATCTTATCGAATGTCAACTTGAATATTTTATAAACCATATATTTTATAAAAAGACACTTGCAGCCAAAAAATATCATTCATATTTTGCAATCTAGATGTACTACGTTAAGATTATTTCACAAAATAATGAATTTTAAGAAGCAGATTTTTAGCCTGTAGCAACTTAGTTATAATAAATTTCAAGGTTATCTAAACTTTTTAAAGCTCTTGTATCACTTATATCCCAAAACAATATATTTAAATTTTGCCACCATTTTGGAAATTTTTTACTGGTCTTGAAAAATTTATTAAAATATTTAACCCATTCTTTTCTTACTTAATGCAATAAAATATTCATTCGTGGTAAGACAATTCTGTTAATTGCCTAATAACTGTATTTTAGTTATGGATTATTTTCTTTCTCCTTGCTTTCTGCCTTCCAATACAAATCCAATTCAGATTTTCCCCTCTGTAGCAATTACACGTGAATAAATATAAATGTGTATTCTTAACTGCAACTTTATGTTTTAGTGAGATTCTTCAACTCCAAGTGCTTTAAAATTAGGCCAGTAACATTTACCACCTCATTCAGCATGTACTACATTCCTGTAACAATACAATAGGGGTAATTCTAGTTGATAATGACGTCGAACTTCTTCATCTTTTGACACACTGTACACTTGCACATTAATGTAGATAATTGTTAGGTTACATCGCCCTTCCCTTTTACGTTCTGAATCTAATGTATGCTATAAATATTTTTTTTTAATATATAGTCTGAGATTTTTATTTGATTTTATTTAAAATTATTTTTTGTCTGGCTTTATAAATAAAAATGCTTGTCATTTACTTTTAATTTCGTTTACTCCCAGACGAAACTGCCCTTTTTCTAATTGCCTTTCCTTCGCACCAAAGCCTGATTTTTCGCCCTGTAGGTAGAAAGACTTCGTGACTGCAAAACAAAACATCTGCCTACTTTGCATGTCTGTTTATCAAATTCAGGTGCACATTGGTTTTTGAAGATTACTCCTGCTCCTGACCTTAAATTAAGAGCATTTTGGTAAGTGAAAGCTGAAATTAGAAACTTTGCAATAACAATACTTCCAAGTGCGTATTTGAGCAAGCAATTAAAATTGTAAACTGTTAGCGGCTTCAAGCCATGAATTTATGCGTTGAAATTTATGCGTATGCTGGTGGTGTATAAATTATTTTAAGATGTATGCCATGTTGTGTTTGAAATAAACTGTAGTGTCGTTACTCAGTTGTTTGCAAATTCTTTATTTTTGTAAGTCACACTGATAATCGTGTAGATTAAAGCGAAGTTGACAAGTAGAATTTTTATTTAGATTACTTGAATTGAAAGTTTATGTAGCGATCCCGAGAGACACTTGAAAAGACTGGCAACTTGAATGAGTTGAAATACTCGAAACTATGCCACGAGAGCTCTTTAGCGCTAGCGTAGAGTATTTCACTCACACGATGCGGAGTCAGATCGAGACCAGAAGAAAGCACAACGGAAGCTCATACGTCACCCTTCCATTCAATGTTAATAGAGAGCGAAACGAGCAAGCAGCAAACACCGAAAAAACAGCCAGCGAGCGTCAATATACATTCTCGGAACTGCCATAGTTATACGAAATTTATCTTCCATAGCATATTTAGTCAGTTCTGCCTGATCTAATTGACATGCATGTCTTATACCTGGTTATTGTGATTATGCAATAAAAATGTTAAAGTTTTAAAATACATTTTTGTTCTACATAACATTTACTGTAAAGTTGGGGATTTGTATGTGCACGAAGAATCGGCGAAGTAAAATGCTGAACTTAAAACTAATAACGACTGTACTGTTATGGTAATAACAATATAAGAGGCGGAGCTTTTCCATGTGATCATACAGCCCAGAGCCGTGAAGCGCTGTGGCTGGCTTACCAAATTTCCAAGAAGTATTACAATATTTCAGCCCAAGCGATTTTAAAACAGGACCGGTATATATATTGATGCCATGATAGGAAACGAAAACGAAAAAGTTAATCATTTGACTGTAAACGGAACCGCCAAACAAGCAGCAATGTACTCAAGTTCTCTAAATATTACAAATCCATTGCCCTGCAGATCCCTCAAAAGGAATATTCGCCGTCTTTTAATTACAAAAAATGGCAAAAATTCTGGATCAAATTCAATACTGACTGCAGAAGTCCTAAATTTCGTAAAGTTTTCCAGAGAAGAATACTGACTGCTGAAGTCAATGAAGTCAAATTTTCCTTCGGAACGGGGGGAGAGTCCTTGAAGCAATATTTCGGCAACTATAACCCGTTTACTACCTATCTGCATCCTTTCGATCTCAGAGAAGATGGTCAGAGAAACTGATATTTTTTAATTCCTGCATATAATTAAGTATTAGAGAAAGTAAACAGTAAACACTCGCAGCCTATGCGCTTAATAATAAGAAAGCTCAGTAATAAATGTATTGAACATTTAATAAACTAAGCAATAACTCTAGCAGGGAGCTTAATCTCCGCCTTGCCCCTCAGTATGCATTTGTGTAACATTTGCTTCTGTTACATTTATGAATGAACTGCACATGCATTTCGGCATACCTCTTAATATGTCCATAATCTTTTACATTCATGTATTTATATTTATGGGTACTTACGTGTTACCCCGTCGAATTTAAAGCTGGCTACCACTGAACCATCAAAGCTGACGGGAATACCGCTAAAAGTTGCGCCAATTCTTCCTGCGAAATTCTAAAGGAACTAAAGTTTCTTTATTTAATAAACAATCAGTATTCGACTCGCTTTGTTTTTGCATTTTGTAAAAAGGTTTTGGTCGATTTCTATTAGTTTGTTAGACTCTCCAATTTTACTGGAAGTTCTGTTTAGAACACTATGAGTGCAGATTTCTTACAGGTAATCCTTCCAATCTATTACTGATTTGCAGGAAGTATTCAGCTGACCATATCATGTACGAGGGTTGGAACTTTAATAGTGGCAACTATTTATTTACAAGGAATACAAAAGTGATTCATGTCACCATGTTTTACAGTCCTTCAATATAGTCGCCAGCATTGTGTACAACCTGTGTCCAACGATGTGGAAGTCGCAGAATACCTGTAGCAGCGCCTGGTTTGTTGATAGTTTGAATGGACCGGTATACTGCCGCAAGATTCTCAGGAACAGTTTGGAAGCGAGTGCCACGAAGTGGTTCCTTCATCTTAGTAATTAAGTCATAGTCACAAGGGCTTAGATCTGGGGAGTATGGTGGATGGTAAAGCACTTCCCAGCCCCATCGCTTGAACAAATCAGTCACAGCTTGCGCTGCATGCGGGCCGAGCATTGTCATGCAAAATGAGAGGAGCGTTCTACAGAAAGTGTCGCCGTTTTTTTTCTCAAAGCTGGTCGGAGATTGTGCTCCAAAAATGAGCAGTAATACTGCGCAGTGACGGTCTGCTGTGGGGGAACGGTATGCGTTAGGTTGAGCACAGTCGTGCACGAGAATCACCCTAACTTTCAGATTGCTGGGGTTCTGACGAAATTTCGAACGTCGTGGTGACCCGTGATGACACCATTCGTTTGATTGAAGCATGTCTGCCACGTTTTGGCGTCCTTCATTGAATGCTTTCACCCATCTTGCTACGGTTCTGTAAGGCAATGCAGATTCCCCGCAAGCCTCTTGAAGCCCTTGATGACACTGTCGTGCTGTACGACCTCTGGCACATTCAATTTTTATCCAACATCGTTGTTCTTGTTTTGAAAACATCCTGACAACACTTACTTTAGACCGCGAGCTAATACAAGGATTCGTTCTTCGCGTCACTCCGCATGCGCGTGACTTAGGCAGGACAACTCTTTTTGCTGAGAGGTAAGGTAGGTATGTAGTTTACGTGTGGTATACGCGATATTCTTTGGTTTTGTTGTGTAGCGTTTTTTCAGCTGTGTTGCCACTATTAAAGTTCTAACCCTCGTACATTAATAAACCCCTTTTTTATAGTAGAATGCCATAACTTTGAAAGTAATCCAATGTTTTCTGTTTTGTAGAAGACAGGTTCCAAATCTTAATGATGTTTTCCAAAATGCAAGAGAAAAACCGTCAACAACTGCTAATTTCTATACTTGTCTATAAACAATAGATGGCTTATCAAGAATCAATCGGGGTTATATCAAACGAAAGCGCAGATGTTGTTAATCCCGCCTATACATAACTGACGCTAAATTGCCCTACTTAGCGACAGTTTCACAGTCGACGGAAAAATACGAACGCACTTCACATTTATCTCACGTTTTGTGTTTTCTCCTTATTTTCGTGTCATTCGGATTATTTATATATTGTTTTAAGAATCATGTATCTGTATATAAGTTGCCCATATAAGTTGCCCATAGTTAATTCTAACCTGAATTGAAGTATAATGCACATTCATTATTTTACCACAATAAACAGTTTGATGCGTAATACGTGATATGAGGGGCAAAGCCCGACCCTCCTGGCCGACTTTACATCGCCCTATGGCCTTTTTATGGGCTGCGCCAGAATAAGCCAGAAACAACAACAGCCCCAACAAAACAAAAAATAAATAGAAAACATAACAAGAGACAAATCGTAAAATACAACCAGAAGGTACTAGTACACAGACCTCTGGTTTTTTTATATTTCATGCACTAACAAAGGAAAGCAGAGAGGAAAAAATAAAGCAAAGCAATCGGAACTAAACTAACGTAATAAAAAAACACTCAAACAATAGCACTCCCACTAACATAATTATACCTTATTATAAACTAACATAATTATACCTATTTTTTCTCTATTTTGACCTATTCTTCCCATAATTTTCTCTGTAATTCTTTTCACTGCTATACTATTGTAATTTAATCTTTTAAAGCCTTTCTCTGCTCCTTCTATACCTCTAGTGATAGCACACTCTTCAACA